AGGTGTGGTTGGGGGGGTGGGGGATGGGGCCTGTGTGTGTGGTTTTTGAAGGTGTGTCGGGGAGTGTGGGTGGGTGTGGGGCTTGTGGGGGGTTTGGGTATGCGTGTGTGGGGGTTGTGGGTGGGTGTGAGGGTATGTGTGGGTGGGTGTGGGCTCCCCACTACACATCTCTGTCACTGTAGGAAGGTGGTCATTCCTACCGTGCCCCCTTTGAGCTTTATCTAGCGTGTTTTCCCCTTGGTCCGGTGAAATACAGAAGCAAAGTGGGCATTCAGGAGTTCATTTTTTTCCTGAGCATCGGTTACCAGCTGTCCTGAAGTATTAAGCAGAGACCCCACGCTTCCATTTGTTTTCCTTCTGCTCCCTACATACCTAAAGAAAGATTTCTTACTATCCTTGATCCCATTGCTAACTTAAATTCAGTTGCCACCTTAGCTTTCCTAATCTTCTCCCCTACATGTGCGGACTGCTGTTGTATAATTGTTTTTTGGAGGGGCCCTGTGGGCCTGATAGAATGGCCTGGAGGGCTGGATCCGGTCTGTGGGCCATATTTTGTCTGTCCCTGACTTTAGGACTTGCCAGAATATGCAAATCTGTCCTTACACAGCAAGTTTTATGTTGGTCAAATTAAAATCACAGTTGAACATTTGAGCTTCGCTGTGGTTTGAGATGACAATATTTAGTGTTTGCTGAACTTAGCAAATGGAGAAATAAGGAAAAACCCAACCCTGATCTCAGCCCTTTTCAGTGTTGTTCAGTCTTAGAATTCTCAGACCAGTGGGGCTTGTGAACATTGGAGGTGATGTTCCTCAGAAACAGTAGAAAGAGATGTTGCCTTTCTAAATTTTATAATGGCACAAAGACCAAATGAAGATATCTCAACCTCTTGTCACATCACAAATGCCCCAAATTTGTGACCAAAACATAGGGGTATCAATTCATGCCACTTTATCATGGCAGACATCTTAGGTTTATGACAGGAGAGAGGGATCATCATGGAGTGTCCTGTGTTCTCCAATCACTCTGGATGTCCTACCACACTTTTAGCTTCTTTCATTTCTTGCAGTCTCAGAACAGCAGAGACTCCCCATGACTGAAGAAGGGTGACTGCGCCCAAAAGCTTGCCAAGAAAATGTTATCCAGTTACTCAGTTGGTCTAATAAAATGTATCACATCTACTCAAATAACCTTGCTTAGCTCTGTAAGTGGGGAATGCATCACCTGTTGTCCCACCCATTGATCTTGTAGAACAGTGAGCAATGTGTATTTTGCCCAGTGAAATGAATCGACTCTGCTAGAACACATCCCAGCACAGCTGTTCTTCTTTACTTGGCAAAATTTATTGCTGGCTTAAGTGTAGAGACTGTTACTTGCAAAGCTGTATCCCATCTCCTAATGGTAAGTGGTGGAATAGCATTTAAGTCTCAGCAGTGTTTTTCCACTTTAGCGGGGTGGAGGGAGAATGGTACCTTTTGGAATGTGTAAAAATCCTTATTTGTATCCTCACATTAAAAAATTCTGCCTCATTTCTTTGAGTGTAATACAAGTCTCATGTGCATGTGCCCAAGAGCCAGAAAGGGTCAAGTCAGCAGATGAAATGGTATTCTGCAGTCTCGGGGTGTGTGGGTTTGTTTTAAGATGACCCTTATTTTTCCAGTTTAAGGATACTTCATTACAGGGTAACCTGTTTTGAATTCTCCTAGTTTAGAAAAGATGTAAGGAATTCTTTCTCCTCTAACAAAATTTATCCTGGGCTTTTAAGTTTCAGATATGGCATGCTTCTGTGATCTGCCACTGAATGAAACCGCAGTTAAAACCTCTTACTTGAAATTGAGATGTGAGGGGGGTCACATTGCATCTGAATACCTATAAATAGTGTTTCTGGTTGTAGTCTCCTGCCCAGGAACAGAAGGGTTAAATTGATCTGGCAAAGGACACAATCATTTTAATAATGATCAAATAGGAAGAACATGAAAAAGTTATAATAAAGATAGCAGTGAGCTGTTTAGCACCATTCATGTAAGAAACTCCTTTCAAGAGCCTTGTTAAATGTCCAATATATGCCATTGCCAGAATTGGGACAGCAGACTAGATGTGTTACTGCTCACTTTCCCTTTTGCAAGTGTTTTCCCCTTTGAGCAAGTGCAGTCACTTGTTCCACCTTAAGCAAGGTGAACACCACACCCTCTAGCAACCTGAGTTGATAGCAACCCTGTCTGTGCTGCATATGGGAGAAAGCTGTCAGTGGATGCAGACTTCTGCCACAAAGGTCTCCCATTCTGATTCTTTGTTCCTCAGTCCTTGCTTACTCAGTACCGTGCAAAGCTTCTCTCTCTCAAACACCGACCCTATGAACACATGGATCCTAGAAGTGGTGTGGAGAGCGAAAGCATGAGTGCTCTTCAGGAGCAGGTTCAGTGCCTCACTCATGAAAACGTAAGTGTGAAAGATGTTGATCCCATCCCTGGATACTGACCCATGTGTTTTAGATAGGAAATCTTAATCAGAGGATGCTAGAGGTAACAGGTAATCCCATTTTGCACCCTGTTAAAGCCACTGTTTGCACTGTGTTTTTTGTCATGTGAGCTGTACCTTCTTCCCTTCTGCCAGTTCCCATATTCTGCAGTACTGTGAATAGAACAGGAGGGAGAAGGCCTTGTCTCTGCTTATTCTAGTCAGTTGCAGGAGCTGATTTATGTTCCCAGGTGCAACTGCAGGATAGGAACGAGAGACTGTATGCAAAGCTTGGAGAACTGCAGGAAAAGATGGGGAAGCTGGCAGGTTCCAAAACAGATTTGTCATCCAGACTGGTTTTCAATGAAGAGGAGAAACTTAAGGTAATGCAGACCCCGTGGGAGCTGGAGAGACTTGAACTCTGGAGCCTGAAGTAGTGGTATGTAGAATCCCATGGTTATTTCCCTATAAGCTCACACAGATGTGCGTTCCTGACAGCCTGTGCTCTATGTTCCTTAAAGTACCTTGACTGAGAAGGACTAGAAATGACATCTCTGTAGCCAGTATCCCAGACCTCTTCCTTTTGGAGGAGGCTGAGACCTCTCTAAATGGGTATCACATAACCTTTATACTCTTTGTCTTTGGGAATTCAGTCCTGACCTCCTCACACTTCTCAGTCAACATATGTCAGGGCCTGAACACTTTCATGCTTAACTGTAAGAATCAGCTCAGCCTCGGTATGTACTTATGGTCAATGTCTCCATCACAAACTGGGGCTCATATCAAAAGGGGCATATCTGGCTGTGGGCTGTGCTACGTGTGTTTCTTTGTTGTCTAATGTTGAAATAATATATTTTACCAATTTCAGAACTTATCTTCCAAATACTGGTATGACCAGTAACACTGGCCTCCATAGCAGTCCTTGGACTTTAGCTGAGCTTCCAGATCATTACAGCAGGCTGACCTGGTTTCTCTTAGCCAAACCCTGTGGGTCTCTTACCTGAGTGAGGACTGAATAAATGCACAGGATTTGGTCCACAGGTTGGAAGCTGGGATATGACAGCTTCCTTTTCGCTGTCTGGCACTACCTTGGCAAACTGGTGTGAACACAGCATACTGTCATTATAACAAACCCTATTTATAAGAGTTTTCCTGCTTTTAAGTATCTCAGCAACAGGAATCCACTTCATTATTGTGTTACAGCAAATTGAATAATCTTATACCATTTTAATGAACTTTTTCTCTGTGTCCCATGGGGTTTGGTTACAATAAGGCTGTACTGTGTATACTATTTTTCAGAGTACCGGGGAAGTCAAGCAATCACAAGGATGCTACCTACCAAGCTAAATCTCTCATTTTAAACATAATTTTTTAGATAGTATCACTTGTGTCTCCCTTATGTTCTGGATCCCATCATTTCAGGATTAATGTTAGGAAACTGACATTTCCTACTGCAGATTTATGCATCCAAGGTTACATTACAATCTCATTTCTCTCTTCCCTAGATTTCCAAGGACCTCATTGATCTCCAGATTGAGACAAACAAAATGAGGGAGCAGTATGAGGCAGAGAATTTTGAACTGAAAAATATGGTATGTGCTACTTCTTATAGCCCATTTCTGTTCCTTATTATACTCTTCCTCTGCCAGTTATGCTGACACCATGGCTACACATAAGGTATCTGCCTGTCTTTGCTTGACTTACTACACACAATTTTTCCCTGGCTCTGGCTGGAGCTGTTAATCTCGTATCACTTGCGTGTGCCCCAAAACTCACCCCCAATGTCTCTTGTGCCCAAGCATGGCTAAGAGCCTGTTTAGCTAGCCAAGCTCACTTCCCATGGTGCTGCCTAGTTACACTTCCCATGCAATGCAGATTCTGACTCTGGAGAACCATATTCTGGAGTTGGAGCTCCATGATGAGAAGGTCACTGGGGAACGCGATGCCCTACAGGAGCGCCTGCTGGCTATGGAGACCAATCGCAAGGAGCTGGCTGATGAGTACATCATTCTGAAAAGCAATTATCTGGCCCTGGGCAAAGAGCATGAAAAGGAGGTGAGCCAACTCTGCTAAGGTTTCATCAGAATAAGTGCTTGCTATTACTGCTGCCTTTCCAGTTCCTGATCTACATCTACTCTGAATGCCCCTGTCACAGCTCCTGCTTCATTTAAAGCAGGCTTCATTTCCCTTTGTTTGCGTGATTTTTCAGAGGCTCCGTACAAACTTATCTGGCTTCTCTCTCTGCATTTCTTCTGATGGTGGGAATGATCTTAAAGGGACATCATCGATCCAATATTTTGCAAACTGACCAGTTAAAATAAAATCAGATGTCTAATAAAATAATTTTAAAACAATCCTTAAAAACTGTTACCAAGGGCTTTTCTGGTGATATTTAAAAGGTCTTTTGGGACAAAGAGCACTAAAGGCCCTCTACACATACTGTTCTCTATGAATCTGCCTGCATGCTCCCTTTTCAGCTCTTTTGTTCCTGGTAAACATTGTTCAGTACAGCCTAAGGAAGAGCAGGGATGTGAGCTCTGCACAGGGCAATGTCTAAGAGTGATGTTATTATGTTGATCCACAGATTAGAACATGTGACTGTTCCCAGTCCAGCAAAGCAGGCAAGGCAGGAAGCATTGTCAAATGCACAAAGTAAAAGAACTGAATAAATGGAAAGGGATTTTTCTTTTAACTGTTTTCTTGTTCTTGTCCCAGAGCTGATGAACATTTTTAAGCAATATGTGATTTAATTGCTATTTTAATATTAAAGCAATATAGTCAATTCCTGTTTGCACAAGCAACAGCTTATAAACAACATTTGCCCTGAGAGCACCTTCCTTTCCACAATTCAGTCTATGCTCCAGGTAACAACAACAGACACTTAAGATCAACGAAGAATCATGGCACCCAGGTTGCAGCTAACCGGCATCAACTCTAATAGTTTGTATCATTCATTTCACAATCTAAAATCTCTTTAGAAAGTTAGGTAAATGCTGGCGATCTTGCTTTGTGGATGGGGAAGCTCAGTCATTTTATGAATTGCCCAGTCATGCAGCTACTTGGTGGCAAAGCCAGTATTGGAAACCTGGCAGGGTGAAATCTAGCTTTGTTGTAGTCAGTGAAGCCAGGATTTCATCTGTGGTCTCTGGGAGCCTTGTTGCCAGCTCCAGCCATGGGACATTGCTGCCTTTAGCAAAGGAGATTTTGAATTAGCAGATTGAGCATAGTCACAGTGTGTGCCTTTTGCTTGCAATTTTCTTAGCAAAGATTTTCCCAAAGGAAACTGCAAAAGGAGCCAAAGGTATTCTCCTCAGGGGACAATGAACCTTTTACACATTTTCAATTACCAGCTCTCCTTGTGACCTTGCCAACATGTTGTCATGGCTGTGTGGCCCAAAAAGAGATCCGTGAGCTCATTCCTGATCACCTATAAAATAATAGTGTGAGCCTCTGAATAGTAAAATGTACAGTCTTTTTTTTAATTCATAAATTGTTCCATATCCAACCAAGGCCAGGAAGATCAGCTGGGTTTGTCTTTTCAGTCAGAGGGCTCTTTTTAGGGAAATTCTTCCCCTTAGGAAGTCAGTCAGTCAGTCGGTCATTTACTTTGTGGCTGTTTCCAAACTTATTGTAAATCCTGCCCTTTCAAGTCTGTTACTCTGTGACCTGCACTCAACTTCCCCTTCCCTTCAACCCTTTTTTATATATGGATCTGGATGACAGGCACCAAATGGGACCAGTCACCCCAAGGGTGGTCAGGACTGCTGCTTAAGGGAGACAGGGAGGGCCTTCTGTTGATCCACATGAGGGTGCTATAAGGTTGACTAAGAATAGGGTGGATTGATGCAGCCTCTCTGAAACAGCTCCATGCAGTGCTGATCCTGTCTCTTTCTCTTACTGGCCAAGTCAAGCAGGGTCTCTGTACTCCTGTAGCTCTTTGGCTCAGATTGTCAAAATGGACAGAGATGCAGATAGATCATTTGAATCAGAGAACAAGAAGCCTGTCCCTTGGCAGTTCCTGTCAGCTGTCATAGCTGTATCTCTCTTTGTTGTTCTCTCTTTTCTCCTCCAGTTGCTGCCTAAGCCCACCCTGTGTTATCTTTTGTTCACCCATTATCTAAATGGATGACTAAAGTTACCACAGAGTCACATCCTCCAGGATTCACAGTGCAGTGATAACAATTACTCAAGCTTGTCCCTAGTCATAAACCCCATCAAAGTCTTGTTATCTCCTCCGAAAGCTTCCCTTGAGATGTGAATTCCCTTAGTATTCATTCCAGATCACCTGTAACTGAGCTGGTCTTGCAAAGATATGCTTTATCTTTGTGAAATGTGTTACTTCACACACCAGCACTTTGTTGAATCTCAGTGGCTAAGTGGTGCTGTGGGTTAATCTACCTGTATCGACCTTGATAAAGAACAAAAATGAAATGAGTTGGGTGGTATTGGCCTGGTTCCTAGGGGATATCTGTCCCTTCTTACATCTTGTAAACTGACACGTTGTGAGGTGACTAGAAGTGTTTGTTCAGGAAAATGTTATCACTGCAGTAGCAGATGGGGCTGCAAGACAGGGTTGAGGTCCACTGACAAAGCTGTGGGGGGCATTTGGAACTTGTCCTGCGGGGCAGGACTGAGGTATATTGGCAGAGCTGTGCTTGCAGGGTTAAAATTATGTAGCAATCCCTCTACTCTCTCTGGCTGGTCCAAGTGCTTGTACCTGTCCTGCATTTTCAAGAGAATTAAAATTTCACCAGTTCATTGAGACAGGAGAGGGGAAAAAACACTGCTGTCTAAAGAGAGTCAAGTTCAAGCTGCTGTACATAAAGTACTGTGTGAACATGCTGAATAATTCACACCCAAAGATGGAGAGATTAAAGCTTAAACAAAATTGTTCCTTTCCTCTTGTGTTTGATAGGTTGCTAAGAATGAGACGCTGAGTCTAGAGCTGTTGAACCTGGCCAGTGCCAGGAACAACCTTCCCCAGCCACAGAATAACTACTCCTCGAGCCGAGCCACAGCCCATGAAACCTCTGCTGAGCTGGAGAGAGTACGTGCAATGGTTCATCACCTCTCTGCCCGTAAAGTGAAGGTATGGAGTTGTCTGCTTTCGTTGCTACCCTGGCTTTCCCATGAAAAACTGGGGAACACCCCTGAGGGTCATTAATCAGTGGTCTGTCCTGTTTCATTGAAATCAGCCAGAAGATGTAGTTGCCTCTGAATATGAACGTCGAAAGCTAGAGAGAAACGTGAGTATTCACTGTAGTGCATGTCTGTTCTTTGTCCTGTGATGCTGTATATCCTGTGGCTAATCCTACCTGCTGCCCAACACCAGTTTTCCTCCTCTTTGAAACAGGATCTTTACTTGCCTGCAGTGTTGTAGGCAGAGGTTCAGGCAGGCCTCTATTGAGCAAATAGAATTAAGAGTTTTAAAAGAGGTATCTCTGCTTTCTTTCAAAGGTGGGTAGCCAAGTGGATAGTGCTCTGCACTGCTGTGCAGGAGACTTGGGTTTGATCTTCTGTCCCATTTGCTTTTCCTATAGGCTGGAAGAATGGCAAAATCAATCCAGGTAATATTCCCAATGGGGAAAAAAAGAAAAGTCAACACAGCTTGTGCTTGCCTAGGTCTGTAGTATATTTGGTTGAAGGCCACAAGTTGCTCAGTAGTAACCTTTCTGGCTGGTTAAAGCATCGTTAACACTCATTCCTTGGCTGCCAAGATTGTAGAAATGTCAGTGATAAAGAAGACTCAGGGTGCTGGGCTGGAGAAATTTCTACCTTCATTTGCCTCATAGTTTGCACACTCCAGACCAGGACCTCAGCCCCCACAGCTTTTCTTGTGACACTATAATCTTCTTGCCCACATCTCACTGCAGTCAGCATTTAGTGTGATGATACCCATTAAGCTTGGTGGCACCAACACTTATTCAAGCAGAATGGATTTGAAATCCACTTCCTGTTGTATCAGGTGTCTTGTAGTGTATTGTCTGCAGCCATTAAGTCTTCCTTTTTCCTTCATTTCCCATGGAGGAAAAGGGAATCATAGTTAGCATATTTCCTTCCAGTGAGCCTCCAAGCCAACAGAAACCCAGTAATTTTTTTATTTTTTTCAATGAGCTATGCCTGGAATTCAGCTGTTCTATTTTCAGGCCACTTCATCTTTCCATTCATTCATGCCTTGCAGTTGCTTGGAAACCAGGATCACATAAAAGCTGAGATTGAAAAGATGAAGAAAACATATGACTCGCAGCAGCAGAAGTTGGAAGACAGAGTGTGAGTGTGACATCCCTCCAGCTAGTTACTGCTCTCTCTCCAGGTGCTGGCCTCTTTCCTGGGGTATCTAAACCTCATAAGGATGAATGAGCTTATCCTTCATTTGGCAGAATAGGAAATGAATATTCCTCTTCTTTTGACTGATGGAGAAGTGAGTCCCAGAAATAAAAGGTGGGATTTTAAAAGGGACTTTAGAGATTCTATTGAAAGCCAATGGGATTTAGGCTTCTTTGAAGATCACAGCCTAAGTGACTCCTTCAGGGTCACATAATGAATCTGTGGCAAAGCCAGAAATTAAACCCAGGTTTCTGGAATCCCTCTGCCTTAACCACATAGTCAGTCTTTTCCTTCTCAACAGGTAGAGATGGCGGGAGTTGGTTAATGTTCTGAAAGAGGCTGTGAAGGGGTGAGGCAGAGACCCTTTAAGTCACAGCATCATCGGGTGAAATCTGTCGTTGTTTATAAGTCCCCTGATTTTGGTAGTCTCTGCCTAGCATCTCGTGGACTGTGGCTTCCAGTTGCTGCTAGAAGAGCCTCACACTGAGACACTAGGTTCAATGAGACACGATGGCCAAGTTGTAGGGAGGTGTGGAGTAGGAGCCTTGCACAACTCAGGCCTGTACTTTGGCTTTGGTCTATACTATTGATTCCTCACCTCCTCAAGTACCACTTACCCTACACCAAATGGCACAGTTTGTATTCTGGGCCCATGGATCAGCCATTAATGAAAGGCAACACTAGATTTAAAACTATCATAGCCTTCACTTTTTACATGCAGGATTGCAATGGGGAAGGAGCTGCAGGAGGCCAAGAAAGCAATTCGCAACACCCAGCACAAACTGGCAGAGCAGTCAGCGGTAAGAGCAGCATTGCTTCTAACCCCTAATTCCCATCTTAGGATGTCAGCATCTCCTTCAGTTGTACAATACTATGCCCTAAGTGTCATTAGCTGGGCTAGTAGTGAGATAAATGAGGCTCTTTTCTGGAAAGCCTTCCCTCCATAAAGGCTTGTCAATATATACAATTTGGAGCGGGGTGCAGTTGATGAATCCCAACTCCTGTTTCCCAAAGCAAGGTCCCTGTTTGAAGGAGAAGCTCCTGGATTCAGCCATTTTGTATGTCAATGATATGCTGCATACCAGTGTCAGGTGATCCACCATCACTGAGTCAATCTTGTGCTCCTCCCTCTTGGTAGCCAGAAACAATGCTTCCCTGGATAAATGATCCTGCTTAGTACCTGGACCTGGGAAGATTTAGCAATTTCAGTATTAGGGGCCATGTGGTATGAATACCTGATATTAGTGCAGCCCCTCTTCTCTGGATAGCTCTGTGTGTTAGTCCATAGGCATCAACTTTTATTTATTGCTGGGGAGGGGGCCTAAAATGATGGACACGTGAAAAATTTTCTGCATTTCAGGTGATAGCTGAGGAAACCCAGGGCCCTTGGGCTCCATGTACTTGGCACTTCTGCTTCAGTCAGTACCCTTGCTTGTAAAATGGAGACAATAGTAACGCTTCCTTCACAGGGCTCTTGCAAGGTTCCATTCACTACTGCTCATGAGATCACCAGAGGGGAAGTACTCATGAAATGCTCAAAGGGTAGAGATTCTTGTGGGGGCAGGCAGCAGTGGAACATAGATTCATAGATGTAGGGTCGGAAGGGACCTTGTAGATCTTCTAGTCTGACCCCCTGCCCTGGGCAGGAGAGAAAACTGGGCTCAGATGACCCCAGCCAGGTAAACGTCGAGCCTCCTCTTAAAGACCCCCAGGGTAGGAGCCATCACCACTTCCCTTGCAAATTGGTTCCAGATCCTAGCTGCCCTGACAGTGAAGTAGTGCCTTCGGATGTCTAGTCTAAACCTACTCTCTAGCAACTTATGACCGTTATTCCTTGTCCAAGTCGCTAATAAAGAAATTGAACAATTGAACAATGCGGGCCCAAGGACCGAGCCCTGGGGGACTCCACTGCCCACTTCCCTCCAGGTCAAAAATGACCCATCTACCACCACGACCCCTCAGCCAATTAGCAATCCATCTGACTGTGTAGGCATCAATGCCACAGTCACCTAGCTTTTTAATGAGAACAGGGTGGGAGACACTGTCAAAGGCCTTCCTGAAGTCCAGAAACACTACATCCACCGCGACACCTGCATCCAATGCTTTTGTGACCTGACTGTAGAAGGCAATCAGGTTGGTCTGACAGGACCTGCCCCTAATGAAACCATACTGGTTGCCCTTAAGCATCATCCCCACTGCTGGCCCATCACAGATGTGCTCCTTGATAATCTTCTCAAAGAGCTTCCTCAGGATTGAAGTAAGACTAATGGGCCTATAGTTGCCCGGGTCCTCCCTTTTCCCTTTTTTAAAGATGGGGACCACATTGGTCCTCTTCCAGTCATCCAGCACCTGGCCAGAGCACCACAAGTGCTCGTAAAGCTGTGCCAGGGGCCCCACGATAACCCCTGCCAATTCCCTCACCACCCTGGGGTGGAGAGCATCTGGACCTGCTGATATGAACACGTCCAGCCCCTCTAGAAGTTCTCTAACCTGATCCTCCCTGACCCTAGGCTTGGTGGAGTTTCTCCCGAGTCCATCCTGAATCTTGGTAGGGGAGTCCCGGTCCCTGCACAAGAAAATAGAGGCGAAGAAATTGTGAAAGAGGTCTGCTTTCTCCTCTGGTGCAACCAGCAGATTGCCAAGCATATCCTTCAGGGACCCCACATTACCCAGGGCCTTCTTCAATCTCCCTATGTATTTAAAAAAGGACTTTTTGTTATCCTTGATGCTAGCCCTAGTTCCGTATCTGCCTTAGCTTTCCTAACAGCCCCCCTACAGACCCGAGCGGTGGAGGTATACTCGTCTTTGGTGATAGCCCCTCTCTTCTACTGGGTGTATGCCTCCTTTTTGGCAATCAGGCATTCCCGAATGCCCTTGGTGAGCTAGGGGGGCTTTTGGGCACTCTTGCCCCCTTTGCTTCTTGTTGGGATTGTCACCCCTTGGCCTCTGAGTATCGTCTCCTTAAGGAACGACCACTCATCTTGGGCACCCAATTCCCCTGCTCTCCAGGACCCTAGTGCCTCTCCCACTAATTTCCTCAGCTCGTTGAAGTTGGCCCTCTTAAAGTCTAAGGCTACTGCCTTGCTGCAGGCCCTTGACACCCTGCGCTGGGTGGTGAATTCCAGCAAGCAATGATAGCTATCACCCAGGTGGTCAAGGACCTGGAGTCCCCTCACCAGGTCATCACCTGTGGCCAGGACCAGGTCCAGTAGGGCATTCCCCCGGTAGGACTGTGCACCTCCTGGGTTGAGTGGAGGTCCTGTATCTCGGCCAGGAACCTCTGTGAGCGGTCAGACCTGGCTGACTGCTCCTCCCAGCAGATGTCCAGGTAATTTAGATCACCCATAACAACTATATTCCTTGCCTTAAGTGCCTCTGCAAGCTGACCCAAGAATTCGTGGTCCAGCTTTTCCCCTTGGTTGGGAGGATTGTAGTAGACTCCCACTGTTAAGTCCCTTTCCCCACGACCCCCCTGTATCCTGACCCAGAACACTTTAGCCTGCCCCTCCTCTGACCCCATCCTGCTGGTTGAGGATGTGTATTGCTCTTTGACGTAGAGCGCCACACCGCCGCCTTTCCTCCCCGTTCTATCCCGCCTGTATAGCCTATAGCCCCTAATGTTGACCGCCCAGTCGTGGGATGAATCCCACCAGGTTTCTGTGAGCCCTACTATGTCCAGGTTTGAACTAGCTATCCAGAGGGTAAGTTCCTCCTGCTTATTCCCCATACTGTGAGCATTGGTGTAGAGGCATTTATTGAATTGGTGCGTATGCCACCCCCTGATTCCCCGGACTATCTGGACCCCACTGCTTACCTGGGTACTCCTTGTGTATGTCACCTGTCTTGGTTGGGAGGTGTCCTCAAGTCCTCCTGTGGTCCCATCCCCCAGCGAAGCTAGTTTAAAGCACAACACATGAGATCAGCCAACCTGGAAGAGAAGACACATTTGCCTTTAGGAGAGAGGTGTAGCCCATCCCACCCAAGCAAGTCCCCTGCATGAAAGTATGGGTCGTTATCCAGGAACCCAAGGGCTGCCTCATGGCACCAACACACAGTAAGCATTTCCTGGGGTGTCTTTGGGTGACAGGAGAATCTTCTCTCCCTTTCTGCCGGCTGTCCTCAGTAGCTATGTTTGATTGTGTTGACTATGGGAGAGTACTCCTTTCTTTTCCTGGTGAGTACGCTACTCATAGAAGCTCAGCCAGTTGGCAGGAGGTGCCATTCCCCACTGATAATCCTCTTCTTCCTGTGCCATAGGTTCTGCTCACCTCTCAGAGTCAGCTTCAGGAGGTGGAGGCAGAGAATTCCCGACTGCAGCTGCAACTGAAAGAGCTGAATGAGGAGTATCGCTCCCGTCTCACTCAGTACATCAAG